ACGTGCAGTTCCGTATTATTCCTTTCCTTTTACTCTGCACGTCTACTCTAACCCATCCTTTGTGTCTGCCCGTGCTCTATCTTCGTTCAAGCTAAACCGATTATCCTATGTTCGTTTGCAGTAATTTATGCTATCTGCTCTGCGTTGCACAGCGCTTCCTTCTTCATTCCTTAAATTGTCCGTTGAGTCTCCATTCTATACTTGCTCACATTGTCCGCACCTCGGCGCCTTCGTAAGATTTTTGCCGATAATAAGACGTCTTTGTATAACTGAATACTCATCTGGTAACATTTCATAATTGCTCGTAAAACTGGATTACATGTCTTGAATGGGGTGACAAATTGACCGAAAACGTGTAGTTTCATGCAAAAGGTTGTGCTAGGTAGATGCCCTATCTGCTATTGCTCTATGACTATGTTTCTGAGGACGAATCCGCGACGGATATCAAAACGTCAGGCGAAAAAATGTATTGTCTTAGCGATCAAGTCGTCTTCTCAGATGCCAAAACTGTCAATTGCGGACGAACTACAAAATTCGAAGCACACCATGATCCACCTGCGACATTTCCATCCTGGTTTCGCCAAACTCAACATAAAACTCAGGCCATGCAAGGGATAAACACTAAAGCGGTCGTAATCTCGACTCTGAACGCACGTTTGGTGGGTTCTCTTTCAAGCGCATTTCCAGTTCCTATTGCATAAAGTGCGTTCTGTCAACGGCGAAGTAAAATGGGACCATAGCTATAGGCTGTGCTCTCGGGTCTTTAATAAATGTCTTACAATACCGAAATATTTATATAGCATGATTACGTAAGCGGCTTTTACCGTTCGTATGAAGGTAAAATAATCGAAGGCAGCAAAAAAAGCATCCCCAATGTGTGACCACTTGTCTTAGAAACGAGCGCAATTATTTCTGCTCCTTTTTATTCCACAGCCCAAATACTTTAAAAAATTTATTCGTGCCAGATTGATTCTTGTTAACTGTTTGATTAGTCGCCGATAGTCCTACCAATACTATGTTGACAGCAATGGTGACTTTCATAAAAGCATTTGAAGAGCGTGTATATTCCTTCAAGGAATTCTCCCCAGACCAGTA